GATGGATATCTGCTAAATTGAGTTCTATGTGGCATTGCAGTATGAGAGATGGATCGGATTTGATGCAAACCCTTTATATGCTCTTTTGCATGAAAGCATATATTGCCAGGTAAACTTTTCAATAGGAGTATTGCTACAACAGTGGGGGTACTTGGCCAATAGGAATTTCTGCGTCTACTTTTATAGTTTTGGATACCTCAATTCTGCAGGCATGCATGAACTGTCTAATTCATTTGCTTTTTTCTGATATGAAGGGTGCCTCATCCCTGTGGTCTGCTCAGAGAATTAGGGCTCTAAATGACAACAAATTTGATGCAATTGAGGCAGCAAAAGTTGGCCGCCCTGTACTTTTTACTGGAGAGGTGAGACACAATGTGGTCGTTTTTGGTTAAGAACTGCCACAATATGAAGCAAGCGTCAAACAGAAAAAAAGTTTTACTTCCACCTTAATTTCTCTGATACATCTTCCACATTAAAGGGTTCTGTCCTCGAGAGGGCCTAAACTACAGCTTATATTTAACTAACCAAACCACCTCTCCTCATTATTGTTAACGTAATATGTATGTCTTGCGCAAAAAAAATCACTATATATTCATAATTATTGGAAGTTATTATAGATATATGACAAGAGCTGTAAATTAACTTCATTTTGTTCTCCTATAAATATCTTTATTACATTTAAGTGTATTGTGTCCTGCTGGGAGTTGAATTCCAGCTTGTAGGTCCAGAAAAATGTGAGTGCTTTGTTCTTTTACAATGTCAGCCACACTCTCATATAGTTGAGCGGAGGCGTGGCGTAGACGATAGAGAATCTGAAATCATAGTAATGCCCGTTCATTTATGAGCAACAATCATGTATATGTTCATCCTTACACATCCTACCTATTTCCCTTAGTTTAAGTTCCGACATAATTTTGTCCCTTCCTGCAAATGTACGTAGCTTCTGTTACCCTGTTCTTGATTTTGCTTCCACTGCAAATTGATTCTTTTAATAGTACAAATTTCTTCTTCTTCAAAGAAATGCAAAGGAACATATGGTTAGAATTCAAAATGGTTGGCTGTTAAAGCTCCCCTCCTGAAGTCATATGGATATTTGGTTGGTGATTGGAGGAAAGGGTCAATTAGACAATATGATTGATTTGGAACGACATATGAACAATCAATTATCAGGGACAAAATCATAACACAGGAGTCAGGGAATACATGTATAATTTAGTGGGTTTGAAGAGCTTCTCTCTCCTACACAAGGTGCTTATTGATCAGAGTTGAGGTTTTTTTTGTTATACAAAATTTAATATAACCTACACTGTATTATTATGGACATTTTGATAAATCACACATTCAGCTTCTCTTTTTGCTGTTTGGCTAGCTCCCCGATCATAGCATCTTGTATAGGAGCTAGCTTATCTATTTTTGTAACCATTGCATCTTCTTGATGCCAATCAATGAAAGTAAATGGATTTGTTTTACATTTATTCTGACCAGACATCGATCTGAAGTTAAACTTTGCAGAAAGCATTTATTTCTTTCAGCTGGAACTAAGAAACCCCTTTGTTATCTTTTTGGGTGAAAAACAGAAAATTTGGACTTGTCTTGTATTCCGAGCAAGTGTTGATCACTTGTTTATTTAACATGCAGATGATATTCCCATGGATATTTGATGAAGTCCATGCCTTGAGGCCTTTCAAAGATGCTGCCCAGCTATTGGCAGAGAAGAAGGATTGGCCATCATTATATGACATTGCTGCATTAAAGGAAAATAAAGTATGTCGTATTTCCGTTAAAGTTGACAAGCTTAGATACCTGAGATTAATGTTGTTCCCCATACTCGTGTCAATCAATTTGCTAAGGATTATAATCTACCTTGATGTCTGGCTACTTCTTATAATACATAAATTGCCTCAACTTTAAGCAAAACTGAAGTAGTGGAGTTGCACTATAAGCTGATCAATGATTTAGACTTTATGTAGTCACCTGGGTTCTTTTTGTGTTGATAGGTACCAGTTGCAGCTGCTGTTTACTATGAAGACATGTATGTTAACTTAAAGCTATCTATGGAGACCGCTTCTCAGATAGCAGGAATCAGGCCTTGGATTACTAATGAGTACATGCACTCTGGTTTGAGAGATGCTGGAAGTCGAGTTTTTGATCATTTGCTTGCTATGTTAAATGGAAAGAAGCCCTTGTTTTAACTCTATTTTCCACCACCATCCACGCTTTCTCTTGAACGTCAAAGGCTTAGATAATGCTCGTGAATTTATTGGTAAATTCTCTTTTTTATTTCCTTCCGACCTTTCAATAAATATGTTGAGAATATGTCTCAGGATATTGCAGAAATGAGAAATATAACAGTTAGCTATTTTTAGGATTTTAAAATTATGTTATTAGAGTCCTATTTGACTTATATTTAGGAGTTGGTTCTTTTTATTTGTTATTTGAATTAAACTGTTAAGTTAATATCTTATTTTTCTATTTTTAGTTAGGAATTATATCTATAAATGTAAGTCTCTAGATTATTAATAAAATAATTCCCTTTGATAATACTGCAGCATTTTTTCTCTCAAAGTTTTTCTCTGTAATTTTCTTAATTGCTTTATTAAAAAACCACAAAATATTTTATTCTGTGCATGGGTACTGTGTCTTAGATATCTTCAGGCCTCAATCCCACACACCCACCTGCTCAAAAAATATTCGAAAGTAAGTAGTTACAATGAACACATCCTTGCTGAATGTCCTTTTAGTAGTTTATAGCTTTTAGAAGTTCGCGAGAGGCTTGTCTGAAATGTCTCTTACTCAAGGAGTGCCCCATTCTAATACTCGTCCTTCTCTCTATATCTATGTTTTATGCAAGAAAGTAGTTCAGCCTTCTTTGTTCTTATCCTTCCCTTCACCTCCCAATCTCCCAACCTCGATATACACACCATATGGAAAAAGACAAGTATGTTTATCTACACATTTTAAGAATTGGAGTCCTCTTAGGGAAGGACAAAAAGTCACTTACACTTCTAATATATCAGAAGGGTTCCTATGCACCTTATTATTGTCGTCTGTGACTACAGAGAGGATAGTGTCATGGATCAGATTGTCAAGTATTGAACCTTCTTCAATCATTGTCAGCTTGAATGCTCTCAAACATCTCATGATCTCCTTGCCAACCACACCCCTCTTTTCCTTGGCCTGATCTGTTCTTTATCTCTCCCCCACCATACCACCCATTTGGCTAAGGATTAATTCAATTGATTAATTATATAGGCAACATATATAACCACTTAACCTGTTAAAGTGGAGTCACTTTTAGTCAAGTTAACCAGCTCATAACTAAAAGTTATTTTATGTGTTGAACTAGAGATTCAAAAATTATTATGCTATAGTATATATTTTACAATTTTTTGAAGTAATAAAAAGCGTTTAAAAAGATTGCGCTGAATAATTTCATACTAAAACAACCGGAGGAGATTATACAGTGCAAAATTAAAAGGATACTATCGATCACAAAACATTAAATTGCTAAGATGGAGCCAAATAGACTTTGCTACTTAGGCTGCCCCTCCCTCATTTTACCAGAGGGAATCCAGTTATCAGTTCTTGGTGCCACTAAGGCTCTGTCTTTTGCTCAATCTGGATAACCATGACTGAGCACATTTTTTTACCTTTCTCCACATGTTGCTAGATGAGATGGCACCAGGAAGGCTCTTTGAGGTTGTTGACTATAGTTTGCCGGGGAATTTGTTTTCACTGATGTAACTTGAATAGAAGCATGCACAACGATTCTAGGTTTGTTTTGCATTTGAATTTTATCCAGAGTTGGAGGGTCTACGCTGTATTTATTTTCATGCGTTAGCTGCTTAATGGATTGGCTCTTGCTATATATTTGACTTGGGTTACTATCGTCCTGTAATATTGGTTTCCAGAATCCATTTGCTGCTGTGATTATATGAACAAACTTGTCACCTGCCTGATTCGAGACCTGGCAAGAATTGCTGCGAGAAGTATAAAACATGTCAACATTTAGATCATCCTGGTTGGTAAATACTTAACTGCACCGGCATTTAAACCTAACTAATTCAACTTACCATGGTTAACTTAACTGATTTAATGAAGTGAAAATATATCTTAATTAATTATGATTAAGTGATAACTGTATGTCATTCATCATTAGTTAGGAATAAACAACCGTGGGGGGTTAAGTTTTTACCATCCTGATTTTATGCAGTGAGGACATTGCATTAAAAAAAAGTTAGTGTACCATATGATAGATTGATAATTTACCTGATGAGCCAATTAAGCGAGACTCTTGATGAGGTCTCAACAATTTCCAGATCTGCAATTAGGTAGAAGCAATAATTATTCATGTTATACAAAATATCCTCTTCAGATATGTTCTCACATAAATGGACTTGAAACAAATATGCAAATTGCATGCTACTAAAATAAAAGTACATACCATCTATTTTTATTTTAGTTTACCTGAATGAGCTAAACAAGGAGCTCTACTACAATCTTTTGACTCTTGAGATGGTAGTGAGCTCATTGTGCCGATTACAACAATATAATGTCCTGTAAAAGTTTTTTCTCCAAAATACAGCACATAGATAAGCAGATATTTTATGAAAATGACATCATTTTTCAATAAATTCTGGCATACCATCAAATTGTCCTATGACTTGTAGAAGATTGACACCATATTTGAGCATTTTAGTGATGACGGTGGGAAACTGCAGCATACAGTCCTGTAAATTTCAGGGCGATGGAGATTTAATGAATTGTGCGGCTATACCAATTGATCAACACCAAAAATTGATAACAAGAAAGTCATTTCAGAGAGAGAAATTAGTTGTTGGGAGAAACGGACTATGGACACGTTAGTCGTCCCCTCCAGTCGGTTTCCATTTAAAAGAAAACTGCAGCCAAAATAGAGCTGAGATTTAGGCCCGGGCATCAAAGTAAGAATCGAGGATGAGTTTAACCTGACAAATAGAATAAAATAAAGTAGGTTATACCTTGTTTCTGGTGGAGCAATCATGCAGGAAGAGGTCTCCATGTTATCAACATTCGTTACAAGTAACAACTGCAAGAAAATTTTAGACGATGAGATTGGAACATGGAGAAAATAGTAGCATTCTGTAATAGCTCAAACAGTATGATGTAAGTATATTTAAAGCAGTAAATGTACAAAAATAAAGACCCAACTTCTTTCTCCTGAGTACTCATAGTTGCTACTGGATGACTTGCATTATTCAATTAGAACAGTGCAAAAGAACTGGCAACAGTTCTCTAGAAATTATCTGGAATTCCCCAATAGTGAAGCCAAAAAATGTGAAACAATGTAAAGGTTCAATTGGACACAGGAACCAGTCCCCTACTGAAATGTAAACTGCAAACATTTATACGAGAGAACCACAACGGTTTCAGAAAAGAAAAGATATTAATAATAAAACACTAAATTCTTCTTCAACTAGAGTATAAGCAATATGCAACATAAGTGGGAAAAAAACATGTTGCTTTGAATGATCCATCTCGCTTTTACACCTCAAAGGAATATAAAAAAGGCACTTACTATATCTTCCATCTCTGGAGAGAACATTTCCCTTATAATATGAAAACCAGCATGAAAGGCTCCAAATCCAGGCTACACACAAATAACCGATAAGACCACCAAATTTTCAGCTTGCAGCAACTGCAGTAGATAAAGTAACCTGCCTTGATTTGAAAAGCGGCTATTATCCTGTCCATCTTCAGCTTTGGACAGAATCTGCATTTGAAAGCTTTGACATTATTCTAACGTGAAAAGTGATTGCGGAGATGGGATGATGATAGTGATTAGTGAGTAAAATTGAAGTGTGAGCTCCATGTGTTGACAAAAAGGCAGAAAGAATATGATCATGAAGAACACTGCAGAAATTATAAAGAGGTTCACTCCAGAAGGATTTCTTCACCACACTACAGGAGGATTACACCAGCACTTTGTCAAATATATGTCAGGTTTCCAACATTTAAGGCACAACGACTGTTTTGTGACAGTGTCCAATCAAGTTATGGATAACCCATGGCTGTTGAAACATGCAACTTTCTGAAGTTTTGACTAAAAATTCACACAAGACAAAGCTACTGCACATACATGAGTTTTAACTATCTAATATTGCTCAGGAAATACAAAGCCTGCTAGATTAGATGATTGGCTGTTTCATAAAATAGGTACAGAAAATAAAAAAGAACAACATCTCATATAAATCGTGTGGTGTATTAAGTGAACTGTTGGTAATAGAGGTGCAGTTGGTATTTAGTAATGTCATAGTTTACACATTAGTACGGACCTTGGTAATACTCTTGAAACGTAAGGGTGGACGTAGCTGGGTTCAACGTCAACATCTTCAGCACTAGAGAAGTATCTGCTAACCTGAGCAGGATCCAAAAGTCACAAGACACAGAGTCATTGCAAACCAAAGAATCAGCAGGATCGACAGAGAGATTTCACTTACCTCCTGGATAAGTTTAAGCAGATCATCAGCATCTTCATTCCGAAACCATCCAACCTTGCACGCACTCTGATCAGTACATAGATGCAGCAAATCCATTCAATCAAAACTAAGTGCAAGACTATAAGAAGCTTTGCCACATTAATTTATAGAAATGAACAAGATGACGAGGTTTCCTCAGAATATTGGAAACAATTTAAACAACCATATATCTGTTCCTTTGGTTTACAAAAGAACTCAGTATTTGGAGAGAAGCATATTTGCAGTTTTATCTAATTTATCATGAGCGAGGAATGTTGTAAAGGGTCTGTAGGTTTTTAGAAGTCAGGAACAATGCTATCTCTAACCCTCTGACTAAGCAATGTGCCTTAGTTCTAGTATAAAACTAGAAAAACTACCATCCTATCTCTCCCTTACCCAAGTCTAAAACTACCATCCTCTCAAAACTACAGTATTAGGAAAGAGGATTCTTAATAGTTTTACCAACACTATTTGCTACTTAGCTTGCTTATTTATTGGTGAGAAATACGGATCTTTCGGGGAAGAAAAGGTCGTGAAGATGTGAGTATGATAGTGAAATTTATGGTGGATCCAGCAGAAGAAAAAGTTCAGGCAGCATTTCTGTGAGCAACTCATCTTGAAGGTGTAGAAAAAGCACAGAACTTGCACATACAACACTCGTAGATGAATGACCACATCATTATAACAATGGAAAGTGAGCCTATATTTTACAGGAAGTAATACAGTAAAGTTCTGCACTAAAAGAGAATAAATGGTATCAAAAGTATAAACTACATACAAATTCTGGGATGTGCAAGTAGAATTTTGGTATACAAGCTGCAATGAAAAACTTAGTTGCTAGGACTTGAGGTTTCCATATTGGACACTATACAACAAAATTAACAAGGAAACATGAAAGATTCTGTATACCTTGACGTACATCAGTAGCACCATAGAAGCCTCTTGGATGGAAAAGTCATTCCTATACTTGTACACCTTGGAGCACATGAAAACAGATCATAAATTTCCAGCACATGCTCCCATTAGATTCAAAACAAATCTGTCAAACATATTCCAGAGCAGATGTACCAAGACTTACACTGTGAACCGATCACAGCGTTTAATTTTATTTTCAGCTTTTATCAACTTAAGTTAGACTATGAATGATAAGTTACAAACATTAATCAAACTACAGTTAAAGACACAAATGCAGCTTTGAGAGGAAGCATCCTGAAAATGCAAAAATTATATGCTGTTTCAATGTGCATTATAAATTTAAGAAACTAATTAATTTTTTTGCATCTTGGTCTATCTTACCTGTTTCAACAGTGACGGTAGCTCATGTGATCTTAAGGGGACCTCGTTGTTAGCAACTGCATGATCAATGCCTCTGCTTTTGAATTTCAAAGAGAAGTTGATCTCAAGTAAGAAAATTAGGACTAAAAATGAACACCATAAGTTATTTGGAAATTGAGTTCAACTCGATTTGTAAAAGCAACAAATATAGTAAACTAGAATAGATCTTTGCATGTTCTGTAATGAGTAATCGATTGCAAGTCCACTATATAATGTATATGTTAGTCTATCTGTAAAGAGGTTTATGGATGGACATAAACTCCATTCCGCAAGAAATTTGATACTGTTTAAACAATAAATTTCAGTCATATCTTTACACAATGCTAAGCTGTTGGAGGATACTAACTAAACTAAACTTGCCTCAAATTAGTCCCTTTTGTTTCACTGTTTTGCACCTTAATAATTTACTTATGCTTTTCATTTTGATGCATTCACATAGACAATTCCACTTAAACCTCGAATATTCAATAACAAAGAATGTAGCACAAGCAATACTGAGTTTTCAGCTTATTCATTTAGGTCAATCCACAAACATATTAGCTTCAATGGCATAGCATTAGTGATTAGAGGTATCGAAATCGAATACAATATCAGCAATTGCTCGTAACCTGATCTGCAGAACGATTTTATCAACTTCCAATACGAAATACCTAATTTGTGTTAGTAAAACAATCCAAAGTTTGACAGCAACCCATACATAGTTCAAAAAGTTACTCCATCAAACATGAAAGTCAAATAATTCTACTTCAATTTTCCAAAAATTATGTATGTGTGCGCTTAGAGGTACACATTTTGTGTTTGAATTTTAGATTACTAAATCAGTTAGTAAAGCAGAAACAGAGAAGAACACAGACTTGGCTAGAGAGAGGCAGAGGTCGCTGAAAACTGAGAGATCATTTAGGTAACCAGTCTGCATATACATAGACATCAAATCAGCCACCGTCTCCACAAGCATCGACGCCGTGCCGGCGGTGGGAACATTCACGGAGCTGCTCGTTGATTTCTCCATTACAGAGAAGGTGCAGTATGCTTCTTCTCGTTTCCGAATTTGCTCAACAGCAGTAGCAAATAAACAGATTTATGGTGCTTTGGTTCACGTTGTTGGCGCTCCATTTTTGGATTTGGTTCGTTATCGTTTTGCATTCTGTTACGTGAAGCAATAAGTTAAAAACCGTTGTACAGCAAATCATGAATTCCAAACTTGGGATGTCTTCTTCTCCAAGCCAAAAGTATGTGTAACTGTGTGTGCTGTTTATTTAGAAATAATGGTTTCAATTTTCTATATATATATATATATATAAAATCAATAAGCCACTTATGTTAGTGCCGGTATTTGATGAGTGGGTGGGGGTAGGGCGGGAAATGAAATATCTAAATTTATTAGGACTAGTACTCCGTCTATTTCATATTTATTGAATTTGTGAGGTAATGCACATTTATTAAGAAAAATATTTAAGGACATAATTTAAATTATACAGTATTGTTTTTTTTGTAAAATCATAAATATAATTTTGTAAGTAAGTGTAATTTATCTCTTAGAAAATATCAAACTTCATTAAAAGAAATGAGAAATATGAAAAAAAAAATTCAACCATCTATCTTGAACTTAAAACAATTCAATTATTTTGGAATTTTAGTTAATGGAATAAAGGAGTATTTTGCTATATTCCTATTTCAGTGCTAGTATCATTCGTGATAGAACAATCCGTCTTCAATTTAATTGAGTGGGTATTTTTAGTCCTTGTAGGCTAAAGCTTAAGTAAATCTAACAGTTTATTTACAATTACTAATTTAAAAGCCAAATAAAAAATAACAAGTGCAATTAAAAGACCTTCAACTGCAAGTGCATCCCTACACTTTTCATTTCACTTGTCTCCTCATCCAAATTCGAGGAAACACCATAAGACACATGCCTGCAATTCCACAATATCTTTTACACGATATCGGTAGTTTTTTTCCCCATGTGGCACGTAGTTCTTTTGAGGTTCAACCAATTCAAATTTAGATCAAGAAGTTCTATTTTAACGATAAAACACTCTCTATCATAAATGATTTCATACTCAAGGTACAAATCCAAACCAGATAGAAAATATACTTATCACTCTATTACTATCTTTGCTCCATTTCCAGAAAACATGATTTAAATAAAATAAGTTACCTGTAGGTGACGCTAACTCTAATAAGTTGTCGTTAGCTTAAGGATTAAAAATGCACACTTGATTTAATTAAAGGTCGAATGTGCTATCACAAATAATATAAGGACTAAAATAGGAATATAGAAATAATTTAAAGACTACAATGCTATTTTCCCTAAAATTCTTTGTGATGCTCTTTTAAAAAAAATTTGAATTTTATGTGTTAAATGTGTGATGAAATACAGTAATAACAAGGAGCAAATAGAAGAGGTGAAAAAAGAGAGAATGAAAGAAGAGAAAGACCAAAAGAGAAACAATGGAGAGGCAGAGTCATTTCAGTAAATCCCTTAGATCCTTAGATTGTTTACCTGAAAACCAAATCCTTATAATTTCGCCCAAATAAATACTCATAGTAAACTATTTTTGACCGGTTAAAAACAGTAAAAGAGGTAAATTAAGTATCTAAAAGTGGTAAAAAAAAAGCAGTACTGTAAGGTTTATTTTAAGTTAGACCGCAAGGACATGGTGGAGTGGTGTGTCTCTCGTGTAGGAGATCTAAGATCGAATTCAATCTTCATTTACTATTCAATCGTGAGTTGTATGGAGCTTATAATTTTTGAGATGTTCTGACTGAATAATAAAATGTAAGTAAGACGTTTACTAAGAATAATAAAGTCCAAGGTGGGGATTACATAAAAAGAAATCGTAACTGAGACCGTGAGACGCATGAAAAATGATACTATTGTATAGATAAAAATAAATAAATTAGGAAACCGACTATTTGGAGAATTAGTATTTAAATTAAAGAAAGCATATTGGGACGATCTTTTTGAGATTGACGAGAAAGTCAGATCTTAAGCCTATTAAAAGTTGTCGACAGATGTTGAGCAATACGTGGTGAAATCTCAAGTGAGATATATTGTTAGTGTCCAAATTCCATGAATCCATCCAATGCAATTTGTACTAGTTAATTTCAGAAAATTGTATTTATTTTTATCTTTTTAAAAATAATTTTTATATTTAGGAATAATTTAATTTTAATGAAATGTTTTCTCTCCATATAAATATCTATAACTTATTTTAGATCATAAATTTCATAAGTCAAATTTCATGTCAAGTTAAACTAACTCATATAAATTGAGTATAGGAGTAGTAACTATTAGGGGTCGTTTGGTGTGAAAGATAACTTTCAAATAGTCCTGGAATTAAATTATAGTAGTAGAGTACCACTTAATTTGTTGTTTGGTTGGTAAGTCCAGGATAACTTATCTCAGGATTAATAATTAGTACTGGGATAAGTTATTCTTCCCCTTGAGTGGTATAGTAATCCCGGGATAACTTATCTCGAAATAAAATAAGTCAATAACAAAAACATTACTTTTTACATTTATGAAGGGCATTTTTATAAACAAATAAATTATTCTTAAAATTTATTATTTTGAATACAATAAATCAAATACTCAATAAAAAATAATCTTATCATAAATAATTACATCATAATTTATCTCATAATAATTAATCTAATCATAACTTGAATTGAAACCAACCAGAGAACAACCTTCAAGTTTCAAGTTAAATAAACAGGTACTTGAATTTCCCCTCTCCAACCAACTAAAGAGTAGAACTTAATTAATGTTGAAGAGATAGGTCTGTATTGATGTGGTCAAAAGTGACCTTGGACACGGGCTCAAGATATACCGACCATCACGTGTACTACTCGTGTCGGCATTACAATTTTTTCTGCAGAAAAAATATCTAGTTATCCATATCATAACTCTTTTACGTGTCAACTCAGAGACATATAATCACAGAATAACCACATCCTATAAATAGACAACACTTTGAAGCTAAATAAATATCTATTCCTCAAGCACTACATAAATTTTCAATCTAGGTTTAAAAATAGAAGCTAGAATGGCAGATTTCATGGAGAAAGCGATGAATTTCGTGTCGGAGAAGGTGGGGAATATGGAGAAACCGGAGGCTGATATCACAGACTTTGATCTGAAAAAAGTTAGCATGGACAGCATTTCATATCATGCCAAAGTGGCCGTGAAAAACCCTTACTCTGTTCCTGTACCCATCATGCAGATCTCTTACACTCTCAAATGCTCCGGCAGGTCCAATAAATCTCCTTCCTATATATATAGTCATGTGTGTTAGCATGTATTCCAGATTTGGGAAGATATTTCTATATACTCATGATTTTTTTGTGAAATAATTAATACAGGGTTATAGTATCAGGAACAATTCCAGATCCAGGGAATATAAAAGCAAATGACACAACCATTTTAGATGTGCCAGTGAAGGTTCCTCACAGTATGCTAGTGAGTTTGGGTAAGGATATTGGTAAAGATTGGGACATTGACTATAAACTGGAATTGGGTCTCGCCATTGACCTTCCAGTCATTGGGAATTTCACAATCCCACTCTCTCATAGCGGCGAGATCAAGCTTCCATCACTCTCCGACTTATGGAACGGTGACAAAGAAGAAGACACTGAAAAAGAGATCTGAAAGTAGCGCGCTAATAATAATATTACTACTAACTAATACTGTACTTTCATTATGGGTGTTTTTATGTATTTTGTTTGATTTTCCAAAAAGCCTAAACCCAGTTTTGGGGTTTAATTAAAAATTACAAGTGTACTTTTCTTATTTTGTGCTGCGCGCTACACTTTATTTTTAGTAGAACCACATGATATAATTAAGATATATATGGCACGGAACAAAGGTTTTTATGTGTATAGTATGTGCAACCTAACATGGGTTGTGGGTCGTGTACAGTTGTAAAACTGCTCCACTCTTAACAGAGGTCTCAGGTTTGGATCCTTAGTATGAATTTTTTTTTGTTGGAAACGTCATCCTTGAATGGGCCTTGTAGTGTGCGATTCGAATTTAATTGAACCTCTAATGCTAGCTCCGAACATTGGGTGGGAAACAAAAGAAAAAAGAAAAATCAAATTTAATTGGAGTTTCAATGTGGGCTATAAACACCGAGTCTCCGAAACTTAAAAAAAAAAAAGTAGTATATTATGTGCAAGTTCAGGTCTCGCCTACCATCTTAATAGGTAGGAAACCATTTTATTTACTTATCCCATAAGATCTCATCAACCATTATTTATTGAAAGCAATAACTCAAAACCAAATCACCGGATACCATATTCGAACGTAATCACTTTATCTGCATCCCCTCTCTCCCTAAAAAAATCACTACTCTCTATTTCAATATATATATTTGTATATTGGTGGTGTTTGATCACTGAACATTGAATGTAATGTTATTTTACTGAGCACGACATTTAACTAAGGATATAAATTTTAGGTGATCATAAACCAATTTAATAGAGATAAAATACTAATCATAAAGTTAAATTATTATTTTTAAGTATAGAACAATGATATGACAAACAAAAAAATGTATCATCATTCATTACAAAAGTTGAGAAGTCACTCTGAGATTCTCTCTAAAATGAGGCAAGTAAGGTAAGGGGATTATTACGAAGAAATTCCAAAACTTTCGAAGGACATATGTAACCTATCTTTGATCATTCTAATTTCCAAAACTATCATAAAAGAAAATAATTTAACCATCTCGAGATCCACAAATCAAGTTTTCATATCATGGTACTAAAAAGTATCTATAAATTATTGTGGAATCCCAAGTGAAATGGAAAGGCTTACTTATTAAATAAAACACTTGGCAATAGAAAATTGAGACCAATTTGCACTATGAAACATCACAATCCCCACGTTTGACAAATTGTAAAGTTAATTAAGCCCTACTCTGTCCATATGGAACTTTTCTGCACTTCCACGCACCAACGAATATGCTGAAAATTGATGTTTTAGTTTAGATCTGCACGAATAAAGCAATCAAAGAACGCGGGCGCTACGCGCGCCGGAGATACTGACATTCATGTATGCGTAACCTGTCCTCATTACGCTCCTACTACCGACTATCTGACAACCTCTAAATTGTTTATTTACTATATATACCGTATACGTATATAAACTATAGTATTTTTTATTTATGACCAGAAGCGTTAAATTACTTTAAATGTCGATATGTTTAAAAGAGCTATGGTAATTAAATCTTGTAGCAGTAGTCATAAATGACACAAATTAAGGTCCAATTTTCGTCCACTTCTAAGATTTCTTGTTACTCCCTCCGTCTCATATTATATGTCACATTTTTTATTTGCACTTGCATCAAGAAATAAAGTAATTTTACCCTTATGCCCTTATTTAATGTTTGCTTATGACAACTTTGTAATAAATGATGAAATGTTAGATTTCAAAAATATAAATGCATTTGGATGACTATTTAAATTTTAGAGTTTTTTTTTTGGAACCAAATTTTTTCATCAATTGATCCAAAAAGATTAAAAAATCAAGTTTTCCCCACCTCAATTTTCCAATATATTTTGTGTAAAATATTTTTCTACATTTTTATATATAAATTCTTAAAGCAAACATGACAACATCACAAAATATTCAAATTCCATTACTTCAAAATTGATCTAAATTTTCCTTTGAACTTTTTGAAATGTCATCTTCCTTGATAAAATTTGTTGAAGCTTCAACTTTCAAGTATTATTTTTGAATTTTTTTCATCTTTTATTTTAATTTGTTTGTTGATATTTTTTTCTAAATCAGATTTTATAGAATAAGTAGTGAATAAAGAAAATAGTTAATTAATGAATGAAGTACTCTCCAAATGAAATTAATTACTTGTAGATTTCCTAGGTTAGTCAAAGTAAATACATTTTCAAGATTAATTAATTAATCTATCAAGGGTATAATGGGTAAAAAATGGTAATTTATGCATAAATTTTATAAAATGACATATATTGTGGTCCATCTATTTTTAGAAAGGGACGACATATAATATGGGACGGAGGGAGTATAATACTAGTATATTTTTGATTTGTGACTGAAAAAATTATTTAGAGTTTATTTGAGTTAGCTGATAAATACCAAATAAAATTAGAGTACTTTTAAATGTTGATGTTAATTTTATAAAAAATAATTATACTAGACATGTCAACTAAATAATTAGTACTGCTCTCTCTGTTCCTTTAGGTTGCACCCCTTTTTCTCTTTTTCTAAATATGCTTTAAGAGAAAAAGTAGGGAAAATTGTATAAAATAATAAATTATTAATTTAAATTAAATGTTATAATTACAGTTTGATTTAATTGTAATTCGTAGCAAACTGTTGTCATTCGCCTCTCTTCCTGAAATTTTCCCTCGTCACCCTCGTTTTCTCGCTGGCAATCTCTCCCTCGCCTCTCTCATTTTTATACTAACACAAATGTATAAAATGTGTTTGTATTTGTATAAAGTGAGAGAAAACTGTATATAGACATATCTTTTCGTTCGCCTCTCCCCCAGAAAATTTCACTCGCCACTCTCCCAAATCTCGGTCGCCACTCTTACTTGCCTCTCTCACTTTATATAAACACAAATGTATAATTTGTGATTGTGTTTGTATAAAACGGGAGAAAATTGTATATACAAATACATATATATTTTTCCTATACACTTATAATTATACAAATACAGATCTTTCCATGCCCGATTTTCTTTTGTCTTTCTCTCTTTCTTGCTTTATACAAACACAAATTATACAATTGATTCTTTTGTATATGTATACCGAAACAGATTATACCATTGATTCTTTTGTATATGTATACCGAAATATACATATTAATAGCCATAGCATATAAATATGATTTTTATGTTTGTTAAACCTAAAATTTACGCTTAAAAGTAATGTTATTATTTATAATTAGAAATAATATAAATTTTATTTTTTATGTTTCAAATTTTATTTTATTTTAAAAAAATAATAATATTATGTATATTAAAACGAGAAATTAATGAAAAAGTACAAGAAGATTACTTTGCCATAATATAGTGTTACTTTTCATATTATTTTATTAATATTAATAAAGTTAGAGAACCTAAATAACAAGCACTATTATGACACGAGCAGAGAATAGCGCGTCAATTCTGACCCTCTACGCGGAAGTGTATCTGATAAATAGTAGACTCTTTTCCTATATTTGTATATTCCATAACAAGAGTAGAGATATTCGTTTAGCACAAAACAGGCCTACTATTCAATTCACTTTCCTCCCATCGTTGTCGAAGAAAAAGCATGGATCTGATTGACAAGGCGAAGAATTTTGTGTCGGAGAAGATAGCCAACATGGAGAAACCGGAGGCAACCATCACCGACGTCGATCTTAAGGGGATCGGTTTCGACGGCGTTGCTTTTCACGCTAAAGTCGCCGTTAAGAATCCTTACTCTGTTCCTATTCCAATCATGGAGATCGATTACGTCCTCAAAAGCGCCACCAGGTTCCACTTCCTTTTACTCTTCTACACTCAAACATTCGTGTCGTATGTGCTATGAACTTTTCACTTGCCAATCACAATTTTGTGTTCCAAATTATAAAATGTTACTGTATATTTAACTTTATTTTATACTTATTTGATTACTCTACCCACTGGATTGCCAATCTATAGTTAGATCCGCTCTGTTCTAAAATAATTGGTAGCCAGAGCAGAGCATACATAATTTCTACCTAGTTATGTATGCTCTTTGCAGAGTTAGACAGCGGAGGTTCCAACTATCAATCGCAATTGGGTAGAGTTTTATATTTATCTGCCAAAAATAAGTAAAATGATGTTTTATATACTCACTCTCTCGATTCAGAAGTTTAAAATTACAATTCACAATGTTGTATAGGAGGTAAGATTGATACTCCTATTACTACATTTTAGTCATCACTTCTCATTTTATAGGATATTTAAGAAATGATAAATAAAACGGTCGATTTTACTAATTTTATCAGTTATATATATTGATGACATCGAGATAATTTACGAAAAATATGCTTAATAGCATATGGTATATGAATAGATATCAATCCAATAAATACAAATTAATCAATGATCTTTTGGGGGGAAAATGAAATATTTTTAGTAAATGGACTAATTATTTAGGACATATATTTTTAATAAGGTCATCAACTAATACTAGATCGGTCTTTTATTTCATTTTCTTTGGATTGATTCTTTTTGAGTGAGATGGACCATGAATAGAATACTCGTAGTAATGGCAATTGATGATGAACAACAGGGTAATAGCATCAGGAAGAATTCCAGACCCAGGGAGCATAAAGGCAAATGACTCAACCATGTTAGATGTGCCAGTGAAGGTTCCTCACAGTGTGCTAGTGAATTTGGTTAGGGACATTGGTGGAGATTGGGACGTCGATTATACGCTGGAATTGGGTCTCATTATTGATATGCCGGTCATTGGCAACATCACCATTCCCCTCTCTTATAGCGGCGAGTATAAGCTTCCTACATTGTCAGACTTATGGAAGGGTGGGAAAGAAGAAGAGAAAAAAGAAGAAGAAGAAGAGGAGAAAGAAGATCCATCAAAGGTTGTTGAGATATGAAGTGGTAGAGCTATCTAATAATGTGGCTTTTATGTGCCTAGTTTCTCTTATGTTGTTTTAATAACATAAAGTTTGTTTACCTTATAAGTATCACTTCACGGATACAAAATCGACAACTTTATGCAGCTCACATTACTCTTATAATACATGATTTGATGATATGTGATTTTTTATTTGCACACAAGGTTTTAGATTTGATGATGACAGGTTTATGTGACACTTTTCCAATTTATATAGTGAAGTTTAAATGTTTCGAGTCTTAAATCTCAATTGTATTATAAGAATTGAGACACAAGAGTAATAATAATAAAATATATTTAATCAATTGATATAACATATTGAAATTATGTTGAGCTTCTTTAATACATGGTTATTTATTACAAATTCTGAAATTTTGAATAAGACACCAATTTTCATTTTTTAATAATATATATAATCAAGCGTGGAGCCACCTTGTCGTCAAGGGATCATCCTAAACCGTTCATAGAGAATTATACATGACTAAAATAATTTTTTAGATCTATATAGTAGATGTTGAACTTACCTCGACTATTTCGTATGTCTATTTCTTCAAATTTTAAATTCTCTTAATCAAAATTTTGGTTCCGCAACTACTATAACTATATCCCGTTATATTCTTAAAATAAAGTGGTTCCAAAAGAATGTGGGCCGAAGTCATTGACTGGCGTTATGGTTCAGCCGGCCCTGTCCAACTGCTAATAGCAATATCACTGTTAGAGAAGATTTGTTCCAGGGACATCACTTACAAGTAAGCCTTACATGGTTGCAGTTTGAAGCGTAGCTCCTAAAGAGAATTCTAAAACATCCTTTGAAACAATCACCATGAGAGTAAATCTTAGAGCATCACTGAAGCTAACTTCACATTCTTTTTCACCCCATATTCATTCAGCATGTACTATACGATCGTCATCTTCTTTTTCTACTGCACAAAAAGAGAAGACCTTCTTCGAACCCGCTAACAAAGACCAAATGATTACACGGTTATGTAACGAAAACAAATTCAACGAAGCCCTTCAAATTCTTTGCGAGCAAAGGCAATTGAAAGAAGCCATTCAATTGCTAGAACGTCCTGAAACCCGTCCGTCAGCTACAGTCTTTTCGACCCTTTTGCGGATATGCATCGATAACCGGGCTCTTGAAGAAGGAAAGAGAGTTCATAAAAGTATGAAATGTTCAGGTTTTAGACCTGGGGTTGTCATTTCTAATCGGATTCTTGATTTTTACTGTAAATGTGATAAACCCTTTGATGCACACAACTTGTTTGTTGAAATGCCTGAGAGGGATTTGTGTTCATGGAATATTATGGTTTCTGGGTTCGCTAAATTGGGTTTGATCGATGAAGCTAGGAAATTGTTCGATGAAATGCCTGAGAAAGATAATTTTTCTTGGACCGCCATGATCTCGGGTTATGTGAGGCAGAATAAGCCTGAATGTGCATTAGAATTGTATAGAGTGATGCAGAGGGATGAGAATGTTAAGTGTAATAAGTTTACTATTTCGAGTGCTCTTGCTGCTTCTGCTTCTGTTCAGTCTTTACGTTTGGGAAAGGAGATTCATGGTCATATTGTGAGAACTGGTTTGGATTCTGATGCGGTTGTTTGGAGTGCTTTGAGTGATATGTATGGAAAATGTGGGAGCGTGGATGAAGCAAGGCATATTTTTGATAGGACAAAAGATAAGGATGTTGTTTCGTGGACGGCTATGATTGATAGATACTTTGGAGATGGGAGGTGGGAGGAAGGTTATTTGTTGTTTTCATGTTTGATGGAATCGGGAATTAGGCCTAATGATTTTACCTTTGCTGGAGTTTTGAATGCATGTGCACACCAAACGACAGAACATTTTGGAAAACAAGTACATGGGTACATGACGCGTATTGGCTTTGATCCTCTTTCCTTTGCAGCAAGTACCTTAGTTCATATGTATGCCAAGTGTGGGAGCGTAGATAGTGCATACAAGGTATTTAAGCGGCTCCCGAGGCCTGATGTAGTTTCTTGGACCTCACTGATTAATGGTTATGCTCAAAACGGCCAACCTAGTGAAGCTCTTCAGTTATTCGACTTGTTGCTTAAATCTGGCACTCAGCCTGATCATATTACATTTGTTGGGGTTCTTTCTGCTTGCACTCATGCAGGTTTAGTTGATAAAGGGCTTGAATATTTCTACTCTATAAAGGACAAGCATTGTCTAACCCATACTTCTGACCACTATGCTTGTGTGATTGATCTCCTGAGCCGATTTGGCAGATTTAAGGAGGCTGAAGAGATTATTAGTCAGATGCCAATGAAACCTGACAAGTTTTTGTGGGCTTCCTTGCTTGGAGGATGCAGAGTCCATGGAAATGTTGAACTAGCAAAGAGAGCAGCTGAAGCACTATTTGAAATTGAGCCCGAGAATGCAGCTACTTATGTCACCATTGCAAACGTATATGCCACTGCTGGTAAATGGACTGAAGTGGCAAAAATCAGACAAGTCATGGAAGAGAAAGGTGTGGTGAAGAAGCCTGGTATAAGTTGGATCAATTTACTGAGAAAAGACTACGTTTTCTTGGTCGGCGATAAATCACATCCTAGATCAAAGGAAATATACGAGTTTTTAGGGGAGCTTTGGAGGAGAATGAAAGAAGAGGGATATGTCCCTGACATAGACAATGTGCTACATGATGTGGAAGAGGAACAGAAGGAGGAAAATCTTTCCTATCACAGTGAAAAGCTCGCAGTTGCCTTTGGAATTATAGCAACTCCGCCTGGAACACAGATAAAGGTTTTTAAGAATCTAAGGACATGTGTTGATTGTCACACTGCGATTAAATATATCTCTAAAATAGAAGAGAGAAGAATTATTGTGCGAGATTCCAGTCGGTTTCACTGTTTTGAAGGTGGGAGTTGTTCATGCAAGGACTATTGGTGAGTTTCCCCTCTGCTTTTGGAAAGAAACGGTTGGGTTTGTTTAAAGGTTAAGCCTTAAAAGACAAAGGTGTAATGTGAATTGAGAAATGGAGTGAAAAATGAAATTTGAAGAAAGTTCATTTCTCTCTCAGTGGTCTTAAAAGAGTTGAGAAGAGAGTCACCGTTGTCATCGTCGCTCGGTTTTGGCAAATGATTGATTGATAAAATTATTCAACTGAATTTGCGGATTTTTCCAACATAAGTTTGATTCACTCCGTTTGTTGAGTTCGTTAAAGTTTTGCAATTTCGATTATCAATATTGGAGAAGTTTCATTCTATCATGGGAGGAATGCAATTGTGAAAGGGTTAAATTCTTTAAGGAAACACAGTTTTCTGTTGGCTTTGAACTTTATTTTTCTGTTACTGTTATTTTTGTTTCTGTTTGTACTTTGATTGCATGAATAACAGAAATTATCATGTCTTGATAATGAACTGCAATGGTTTTGGAACAATTTTATCTTTTTCCAAAGAAGGTAACAATATTGTAAATCATCAGCAAAAAGGCTATGCTGGAAGCCCTATTTACAAGTTCAAAACGAGCAAAAGTATAAGTCCTTGTTCTCCTTGCAAGGATCCAATGATGTCTAACAGTAACATGGAAACTAAACCTGACTCTGAAAAAAAAAAAAGAGTTATTTGTCACCTTTTTTTTTCTTTCAAACCGACCATTGCAATTCTATATTTTAACAAATATTCTTATGATTTAAGAATCTTAAATATCTTTCTTAAAATATGTGTGGAAATAACTAAAAAGATATGAAGACTTTCAAATGTCTTTAAAATATGTTAGTAATCTCCCATAAATTATAGTGTTAGTTGGTGAATTTGAACACCTGTCCTGTGAGGGAATTGACTATTTGGACATAGCATAATTACTAAGGTGAGCATTTCCTCCAACAACCAACTAACAATCCTCCCATTCCGTTTAATTACTCACAACATTATTGTCAGTAAAAATCCACTTCAACTTTGTTCTTTGACATCACAATTCGAATGCTGGATTCAGGATGGAGTTAGAAGACAACTTACGAATTCGATCGATTCCAATAAATTTATATTAGTATAAAACTATAAGTGTTTAAAGTTGTTATAGAATTCCTAAAATTTAAATTTTAAATCTGTTCCTTTCTATCAGAATTCATAAAATTTAAATTTTGATTTGTTTCTTTGGTGTTTGTTTGTATTGTAATGTTTACTCAAAAAGATAAAAGACTTTATAGTCAACATTGACAGTGGAATAAACCTACCATATACCTTCTCCACTCACAAGACATTTTATTTTATTTATATAAGGGAGTTAACACAAACTCAAACACCAAAGTCCCAAAATTTTTACATCTCAAATAGTACAACCATTTCTCCTCTTAGTTTCAAGACTCAATAAAAATGGTGGAGAGAGATCAAGTTAGACCACTAGCTCCAGCATCCGACCAGCCACATAGCAGCGACGAAGATGAAACAATCAAAAAAAGGTTTCATCAAAGAAGATGTTTCAAATATTGTGTTTGTGTATCAACCTTTCTTTTCCTTCTAGCCATAATAATCATCATTTTGATCTTCACAGTGTTCAAAATAAAAGACCCTATTATTACAATGAACGGTGTCACAGTTGAAAAACTAGACCTCGTTAACACTAGTGGCACCCTTTTACCTATACCTAAACCAGGTTCCAACATGACCATAAAAGCTGATGTCTCAGTGAAAAATCCTAATTATTCATCATTTAGGTATAGTAACACGACCACCACTATTTCCTATCGCGATACGGTGGTCGGGGAGGCGCGGGGCCCACCGGGGAAATCGAAGGCACGGAAGACTATGAGGATGAACGTAACGATTGATATTATTACGGACAAAATTGTGTCACATCCTGGCTTACAAGATGATATTAGTAGTGGTTTGCTTACTATGAATAGCTACACAAGTGTTGGTGGGAGAGTCAAATTGTTGAATATGATCAAGAAATATGTTGTTGTGAAGATGAATTGTAGTATTACTGTGAATATTACTAGCCAGTCAATTCAAGATCAGAAGTGTACCAAAAAGGTTAAGCTTTAGATTGATATATATTACTAGTAGTTAATTTTTGTCATGATATTTATTTTTTGCTACTACATCTTTAGTTTTGAGTTTTGTATACTTCTTGTTGTTCATTATAAAATGAGTTTTTTTGTGATAGTTGAGATGTTACTATATCAGATCTTGTTTATAAC